GTTCCTTGCAAATGAGGGAAATATCCAAAAAAATTACAAATTTAAAAATCGCTAATTTTCGAAATTTTTTCACTTTTTTTTCTTAAAACTTCCATAACTTTTTGAAAAATCAACAAATCAACATAATTTTTTTTTATACTAAAACCTTAGATATTTACNAGTCAACACAATTTTTTTTTATACTAAAACCTTAGATATTGACCTTTCATTTGATATCATTTTTTGAAAATCTATCACTTAACCTGCTCATTGGGGGGGATTTAAAATGGCAACTTTTTTACAAAAATTAATTTTTTCAACTTAATTTTTGAAAATGTTCCGGAAATACTGCGTCCTTTAAACATATATAAAATTAAAGCTTATTTTATGTACTACAAAATGAAAAAAAAAAATTTGTCCCGACGATCTATCTTCTATACGCAAATGGCTACCATATTGAAAAATATACTATTTTTGTATGATAATTATGGGTTTTGTATTTTATTTTAATAGAAGTTGATGTTGCTTTTGCAATTATCCATCAATTTTTTAAAATTAAACACTATCTACAGATTTGCATCGAAGCGTTTCTTATGATAGTGATTTTAATCACTGTCAGATTAAATCTATACTGGACCCTACTATGCAATGTCTCCACTATGCCGCGACCTCACTGTGCTACCGTTTTTTTTTAATATTAAAGTATATTACATAAGTTTTAATTTAAGATATATATAAAAGTGTCAGTATTTCCGGAACACTTTCAAAAATTAAGTTGAAAAAGTTCTACTTTCTTTATGCATTTTAAATATTTGAACCCCCCCCTGTATTAAGGGAAATGACCCGATTTAAAAAAAAAGTATGTCAAATGACCTCTTTCATTTGACATACTTTTTTTATATAAGTATTATTTTATATAAAAAAATTGTATTTATCCATACATTTTTCAAAAAGTTATAACATTTTAAAGTTAAAAATGAAAAATAGAAAATAGAAAATTTTAACACAAAAATAGCATACGGGAGCTATTTTCACCGTGAAGACAAAATAAAGTTCGAATTTTTTTTTTTCCATAATAAAGTATATTACATTAGCTTTAATTTAATATATACAGGGTGATCCATTTAACATTGACCAGCAAATATCTCAAAAACTATTTATTATCTTAATAATTTTTTTTTTTAATTATTTTAGTTACATAAAACTCTACATTTATCCATGATCAGATAATTTTTAGGTTCATCCCTTATGCCTTAAAAGGATACCAACTTTTTTTTTTCAAATGGAAACATATATTTTTAGTTAGATATATTGATAGAGTTTTTTTTTTTTATAATTTTTAGCGTTTGAATTTTTCATTTAAGTCGATTAGTTTGCATGTTATTTCACTTAAAAGTTTTGATTTTTTTTACCTATATAAATGTATAAAACGGGTAGACTTGTAATACAGGTAGTTAATTGCAGCGGTTATGATGGCTCGTAAAGACACATATTAGATAAGATAAGATATTTGCTGGTCAATGTTAAATGGATCACTCTGTATATAAAAGTGTCAGTATTTACGGAACACTTTCAAAAGTTAAGTTGAAAAAGTTGTCATTTTAAATCCCTCCCTGTGGGCTGGTAAAGGGTTAAATTTATAAAAAAAATATACCAAATGATAGATAAAGACATCCAGCATCTATAAAAAAAAAATTATATTGATTTGGTTATTTTTAAAAAAGTTATGCAATTTTAAGTACAAAAAAATTGAAAAAATTTCGAAAATTAGCCATTTTTAAATTTGTAATTTTTTTGGAGGTTTCTCTCATTTACGGGGAACGAGGGAATTTTTTTCAATTTTTGTGGGTAATGTCTTCGACTAGATACGATTTGTAATCTTTTGACGTATCATTAAAAGAAATCGGTTCGGTGAGAGCTGAGAAAATGTGGTAACGGACACACAAAAAAAAAATAATAATAATAAACACATCTTAGTAAAACCAATACCTTCTCAGCTTCCCATCGAAGCTAAAAATGGTGCAACTACTAAAATTAAAAAGGTGCAATGTACATCATCAGAGAAATGGAATTGGAGGCACTGAACAGCATATTATGCATAGCACCACGGCTACGGTCAGTTCACATTGCGAATCATTTCAATTGACCACTTCTTGTTTAATTGTAAAAAATATATCAAAAAATATTTCGTCTTCATTTATTAAGAATAGCTGTGTACAACCACCTGATGATCTGACACTTGCTGAACCATCGTTTATGTCCCCGCAAAAAATAGATATGCTAATTGATGCTTAGCATTTTTACGACATATTATGCGCTGAAAAGATAAAACCAAACAGTTCGGGACCTATTGGTTGGGTTGGGTTTAGGCTTGTAATATGTTCACTAACTTTACCAACAATCTCGTAAGAGTCCATTTTACTCTTTAACAAAATTATGGGTCATCAGTATAATTTGTGTTATCAAAATAATTAATTATCCACACACTAATTCGTAACATTAAATAAAAATAATAATATTTAATAACTAAACGTTCAGGATGTACGTCGATAGTTATTGAGGGGATCAATAACAACTATCACATGGACACTTCAATTGCACGCAGATATTTGCTCAGATGATTGCCACTAACACGTTCTCGGGAGTAAGTCCCGGACACATTAATGACAGTGCAAGTAACACGATGACAAAATAACTACAATTTTTAAAAATAAACGGAAACAAATTCTGCCGTAATTTTATACGTGAGATTTTTATAACACTTCTGAAATGTAAAATTTAATTCTATCTTAAAGAAAAACGCTCTTGTTCCTTTTATATCAGGATCACTGAACAAATATTTAATAAAAATCCAATAATTATAACACTTATAACTTTTTAATAAACGAAAAAAAAAGAAACAAATTATATTACATTCCTATCTCTAGGGCACCACACAAACAACTACTACAATTTTTAATACATAAGTGGGCATAGGCCCATTACAGTTGAGATTGATCAGTTTGACTAATTGGCTTAGACGTCAACACTAGGAACAAGAATCTGAATTTGGTTTACAGCAGTCGGGCGTTAATCTCTTTCTAACTTCCATATAGGTAAGACTAGATTCAGCACTTAGAAGTAAATTCTCAATTACTTGGTGTCGGTATTTCCATTTATTTAATACTTCGTTATTAACGCGTAGTTGTTCGTGTAAACAACGTTGCCGTTTCCTTTGTTCCATAAGTTGATTCTGCACATTTTGTAGATTATCAGAAGCTTTTAATACTTTTTCCATAGCCACAAAAGCGTACCTATGGTAAAGTATAAACTTTACTTAATTTAAACTTAGAACGTTCTTATCAAATATGTTTTTTTCACCCAAAAAATAAAGAAAAAAGTTATAATGTAATCAGTACAAATTTAACTTAATTAATTTTCATTCTTATATATTCAAATCTTACTTGTTTTTTTCGCTTTCTAATGTACTCAATTTTTGTTCCTTGAGCTCAGCTACTTTTAATGCTGCGAAGGCTTTACTTAATTCTTGTTCTAACTGACATTCAAGTTTTTGAAATTCTACGGTCTCACTGGACGGCGTTAAGCATGGAATAGAACAAGTCGTCGGACATCTTGTAGAACATCCTTCAGTGCATTCGAAAGGACGAGCTGCTTGACGGGTTATTATCAACTCGTTGCCGGCTCCACCATCGTCTATGTTACCAAAAGATAGAACAATGACAATTTTAAAGAGAAATAAGTCCACAAAAATCCAAATTGAATGCGTTAACATTATTATATATATTTGACCAACTGGATTGTATATAAATAGTTTTGTGTTATCTTATTGTTTTCATTGATTAATTTGTAACAATAATTGAATTAACACGTAACAATGAAAATATTGAACAAAATAAATAAGACTTAAAATTTAAATACATCATTAGTCGAATTTAAATGTATTTTTCTGTTAGATATTGTGTATTTATTGTTTTCGGTAATTATTGACGGATGTACTAATAACTATAGTAATAATAAATAAAAAAGTGATACTATCATGGCCACAAAATTTATATGTTAAGTTTTAATAATTTTTTTATGGATTTATAGCATAAAATATTTTAAGACACAAAATACATTTAGGTTTGGTTGAACCTGATGCATTCTTTTAATTATTCAATTGAAAATCATATTCAATAGAATCTTTAAAATTTTATTAATGAAGATATACGTGTAACATTTTTTACTAACTCTACTACATAAATATTTTGATTCATTACAGTACAAGATGTTGTTCGATTAAGACGTCTATTGTTGCGCGTCGATTATCTGTTTTAGTTATGGCCGATCATTTTTAACACGCTTATATTAGTTTCACATGCATGTTTGTTGTTTGTTGTAAGTTTGTAACTCCACGTGTTATCGCGTTCCCGTCGTCTATGGCCTTGAGACTAGACTGCTGTAACGCATTCACCTTACCCCACGCCAAGTTCACCACAAGCCGGCAACACTATTCTGTATAAATTTATTTTTGGTTATCGTACCCGTACACGCGTACGTGTCATCAATATTATATATATATATAAATAAATTTTTATTTTGACTGACTAATACCGCCCGCGTGTAATGCGCCTTACGTATATATATATATATATATTCCTACAGCCGCCGCATATGCTTCGTGTACAACGTTCCCCCGCGCCCCGCCAGCCTACAAAACACAGCTATATCTCGTGCATGATACGTTTACGTACTTAAGTCGCTTTACATGTATATATATATATATTCTAATTACTATTAAAAATATATATTAACACGCCTTATTCTCATTAAGAGATATAAAGTGTATTCATTCCGATTACAAAGGATGATTTCCGTATCGTCATTTTACGTCACTACTTCCATGTTCCGGAGTGGGTAATTTACGCGCCTGGTGCTTTCTTTGGATGTGGTAGCCGTTTCTCAGACTCCCTTCCCGGAATTGAACCCTGATTTCCCGTTACCCGTTACAACCATGATATGGATAGTAACTACTATCATAACATGAAACTAAAAAGTAAAAAATAAATATAGTTAAAGAAAACTAAAAAAACACGCTTTTAAGTTTTTTTAAACTATATTTATTCATCTTTATTTTGAATAACACTTATTGTATTATTATTCATACCTACTATTTAATGTAACATCAATTAGATGGCGCGCTCTAGTCGCAACTTAAGCACCTACTTGCAGTTCAACCTACATGACTGAACTGCTGCACTGATTCTTCCTTCCTTTCCCTGTCAAGGTAATGTTAGGTCATAGATTAAATTACACATACATAGACCAAGCCGTACTCAATTTTGGCAGTCCAATTTTTATCATGAATGGACGCAGGGAAACGATGTGCCGGACGCAGGCGATTATCCTGATAGATAGCGAAAATTTTAAGTGCTTCTATTGGTTGAAATATACATGGTATTTTAAATCTTTAATAATTATTTAATGAATGTATAATGCACATAATTAAACAGTTATACACGTTATTTTTCATTTTATAACATAATAAGGTTTTTTTTATGATTTTAACTCTTTGTAATTATTTTTTCATTGAAATTTTATTTATTTTTTTATTTTCATACTATACTAAGAATCCTTAACTTTGATATGAAATGTGGTATTACAGTACACGACTAAACTGTTGGTCTCTATATATTTTTATAAATTATTTTTAACAGAAAGCAGTGGCAAATAAATTGTTTTGTAATTAGGATGAGTTCAAAAATCTTTATGATAACAATCATCATGGAAGCTGTGCCCCAATATCACAAAGCTCTTATATTATATTTATATTATATTTATTTTGTATTTGTATTACTAGTTTTACTTTTCGCTCTTATCGGGGTGGACATAATAAATTAACATTTGTTGTGTGCAGGAAACTAAGTGAAAATGAGAGAAATCAAGGGAAATAGGTGAAGGTTATAACACAATATACTCTGGTAAGTCTAGTACAAAGAATGGTGTAGGGATAATAATGGATGAGGAGATGAAAAGTAAAGTAGTAGAAATTGCTAAGAAAAGTGACAGTATTATGGTCATAAAATTGATATTCGAGGAAAAAGTGCTGAATGTAATAAGTGCCTATGCACCACAAGTAGGGTGTGATGAAATAGACAAGGAAAAATTTTAGAGAGAGATGGATGAGGTGATACAAGGGGTACCTGGCAAAGAGGATGTGGTGATAGGTGGAGATATGAATGGACGTATAGGTAATGAGAATAGAGAATATGAAAGAGTACATGGAGGGTATGGTTTTAGCGGGAAGAAGGAGGCTGGAGAAAGAAGCCTGGATTTCGCAGTATCGTATGATCTTGCTGTGGTTAATACTTATTTTAGAAAGAGGAAAGAACATTATAAATCTTTTAAGAGTGGGAGGAATAAACAGATTGATTATTTTATAAGGAAAAGAGAGAGTGTAAAGCGAGTAAAAGATTGTAAAGTTATACCGAATATATAGCGTAAAGAAAATATACAAAAATAGAAGAAACACGGGGGAAAAATCGAAAATCCGATGGTAGAAAATGAAAAAGGAAAATGGAAAAGAGTTTATAAAGACGGTAAAGAGATGACGGTTTGGAATGTAGAGGAAGACATAAAATGTAAAAATGTAAAAAATAAAATCGATAATATTCACACAAAAGTAGCATTTGGTAGCCATTTTCACCGTGAAGACAAAATCCGAAATTTTTATTTTCCATAATAAAATATATTACATTAGCTTTAATTTAAGATATACATAAAAGTGTCAGACTTTCCGGAACATTCTCAAAAGTTAAGTTGAAAAAGTAAATTTTTTATGAAAAAGTTGTCATTTTAAATTCCCCCCTGTGGGGAGGAAAGGTGTCAAATTTATACCAAATGATAGGTAAAGACATCAAGCATCTATATAAAAAAAAAAATTATATTAATTTATTCATTTTTAGAAAAGTTATGGCAGTTTTAGGTAAAAAAATTTTGAAAATTAGTGATTTTTAAATTTGTATTTTTTTTGGAGGTTTTCCCCATTTACGGGAAGAGAGGGAATTTTTTTCAATTTTTGAGGGCAATGTCTTCGACTAGATACGATTCTGATCTTTTAACGTATCGTTGAAAGAAATCGGTTAGGTGAGAGCTGAGAAAAAGAACATCATAGTAAAACCAATACCTTCTCAGCTTCGCATTGAAGCTAAAAGTTTCCTGTGAAAATAGTAACTGGATGACGTCATTGTGTGTAATTTTGTACGTTAGATTATTTCATAATATTGTTTATCTAATGGACTGAATAAAGTAGAGATCAATCATTAGATTAACGCAAAAAATATTATATTTGAACGTTTATATTAAATTCACAAAGTTTAATTAATAAAAAAGATATAAAAAGGAAGAAAAACAATTTAAATGTAACTAAAATTAGTAATTTAATGCACAAAATAGGGCCACTCCACGTTTTATCCAATGACTTTGTGGCTGTTTACTCGGTACTTCAATTGATATTATAAAGTTCGTTGAATGACCAGTTGTCGATAAATTACCCGCTCTTGTTAAAGTTTTATATATAGGACATACATAAAAACCGTTTTGAAGTTTATGATTTTGTTCTGGTATTAACCAAATAGGAGGCATTTCTAAAAAGAAAATTTTTAAATTAAAATATATTTTTTAACGGGAAAATAATTATCATAACTGATTAAATATGTATAAAAAAGACAAAACTTATGTATATAGAGGTAACTACTGAATTCTATCATTAGCTAAAAAATAATATATTTTTATAATTTTTTATTTTTTAATTTAATATTATTAAAAACCTGTGTAAAGTTCTTTAGCTATAGATTCATCTAATATATGAAGATTTTCATTCCATCGACATCCTTCTAAGAATAAACCATATATGACACATCCGTGTTGTGGTCTTTTCTCAGGTACGCTGTCCAGTACTGTGAAGCCATATTGAATAGTGTCGATTGAAACAATATTTTTACGAGCAAAATTTTGTAAGCAACCCGTAAGAAATGCCTGAGGGAAAAAAAATCCAGATATCCAAAAACTGGATGGTATGCCGTTTTCTATCCATTTATTTAAAAATGCTACACGCATTCGAAGATCAACTACCCATGCGCCTATAGAATTTTAAAATACATATAAAATCTCAAGTTAAAAATTTTATTGCTTTTTTATTTACCTAACGGTTTTAATGACGGATAAGCTTTTTTTGCCCACAAAACAGGAATTTGGTTTGAAATTAAGCTTTTCATCATTTGCTCCAAAGCGTCTGTCATTACCACTAGTCCTTTGACTCCTTTTAAAAGACTTCGTAGAGTATCATCAACTATAGCTAACAGTCGATTAAACCTCACCAGTTCTTGAATAAGTACCGTATTTAAAGATTCCTCGTACGTTACAGGATATTTTTCTTGTATCCATGCTAGTGAAGACCAAGGTTTAGGGATATCTCGAAGTAATGATTCTGCCTTATTATTTAAAATGTCGTCCCCATCTGTAGAGCTAGTTAATATGGTGCGAGGTTGCAAAGACAATAAAATGTTAAGTGATCTAAAAATTAAAATCAAATTTTTGCTTAATGTCTAATAAAAAGTTGATATAACTAAGCATGTAATTAATAAAAAAAGAGTAATCCTTTATTTCAAATAAAGAAATATATTTAGAAAGAGGGTGATTCATTAAGTATAAGATACTTATTTTCTATGAAATTATTGAATTTTTACTATAGAGAATAATTGTTGGTACAATAAACTACAATATTATATTATGTTGTCAAATAATTTTTTTTTCTATTTTTTCAGTTCAATTTGACATGATAGAAAAATAATTGTTATTTTGTTTTTATATTTAATTAATTATTTTTTTATCTAATCAACCGTCAATACTCTAACATAATTTAATGATTTGGATTTAAAGTAAAAATTCATTATTCATTTCGTCTTCATAAGAACAGAGGTACTAATAATTTTTTTGATAGCCCACAAATGCATAGGTCGATCGACGATGTATGATAATAACCTTGCGTTGATTAGAATTAATAATAATTGTAAAGATGTTTTTCAGCAGATAAAGAAAGAAATAACATCTGACAGGATATTGAAACACTTTGATCCTAACTATCCAACGTATTTAACATGTGATGCATCGTCTTATGGAATAGGAGCAATATTATCTCAAATAGTTGACAAACAACAAGAGTTTCCTATAGCATATATGTCTAGAACACTAAATTCAGATAAAAATAATTACAGTCAAGTCGACAAAGAAGCACTTGCCATTATATCCGGAGTTCATAAATTTAACAATTATTTATGGGGTTTAAATTTTACTATTAGATCAGATTGTAAACCACTTACAAGTATTTTTGTACCAAAGAAAGGTATACCAATAATGACAGCAAGTAGATTACAGCGTTATGCAGTATTTCTATCAGAATATCAATTTAAAATTGAATAAGTAACATCCAACAAAAATAGTGCTGATGTCTTATCAAGATTACCAATAAATACAGCAAATTGTAGAAAATCAGAAGTGTCATATTTACAGTTAATAGATGAAGCAAAAATTATGAACGCAGAGTTAGTACAAAAAGAAACCATGAAAGACAAAGTATTAAGTAAAGTCAGATATTATATCCTTCAAGGATGGCCAACAGCTGTTGAAGACAAATTTGAAACTTATAAACAAAGACAAGAACTATTAAATATGGAACAAAATGTTATATTATGGGGTCATCGAATAATAATAACAGAAACTTTAAGAAGGAACATACTAAAAGAATTACATCAAAACCATTTAGGTGTAGTAAAAATGAAAAGTTTAGCCAGAGCACATGTATGGTGACCAAATTATAGACAAAGATATTGAGGAAAATGCAGCAGAATGTGATGGTTGTGTAGAACTAAGATCTATGCCAAGAAGGACAAAACTTCATACTTGGGAATGGCCGCAACAACCGTGGCAAAGAATACATATGGACTATTTAGGACCTATTAATGGAAATCACTACTTAATAATTGAAGACGCATATTCAAAGTGGATTGAGGCTTTTAGAGTGCCATTAAAAAATCAAGATCATTATTCACTAGATTTGGTTTGCCAGAGTACATAGTAAGTGATATATGTACTACCCTTTAAATCTGAGTCATTTCGGCAATATTTAAAACTAAACTGTATCAGTCATAGAACATCATCTCCTTATTATCCCCAAAGCAATGATTAGGCAGAGATTGGCATTAAAATAATTAAATCTTTTTTGTCTAAAATCAATAATATAAATATTGATGAACAGTTGATCCAATTTTTATTCGACTACAGGATTTCTATGCACACAACAACAAATGAGTGTCCAGCAAAACTTTTATTGGGTAGAATGCCTCGTACAAGATTTTACATACTCAAACCAAATATAAGAAAAACTGTGTTCACAAAACAAGAGAAACAAGGAAAAAATAGACACATAGTAAGAGAATTTGAAATAGGAAATAATGTACTAGTTAGAGGTTATGGTAAACAAAAAAAAATGGTTTAAAGGTGTAATAAAACGTAGAATAGGTAACATAATGTACTTAAGTATTAACAAAAATAAGAAATGGTTTAGTATGGAAATGACATTTAGATCAAATATTAAGGTTGAATGGACAAAAATTTGAAGGAAGTGGAAGTGAAATGGTAAAATTTAATGCAGATAGGTATGACACCTATGAGACTGAGGAAACACAAAAAACTGAAACCAATGAGACTGAGGAGAAACTAAAAATTGAAACTAATAAGACTGTTGAAAATGAAATATGTGAAACTGTCATGATTGAGGAATTTGGAAATAATAGTACAGATAAAAGGGAAGAAAGAAACACTGGTCAAGTAGGAAAACAAAATATATGTTCAAACAGAATGAGAAAGCCTATTAAAAAATGTAATTTGTAATTGTATTTCATATTATTATGTTATTAATTTATATACTTTATGATGAAATCATAAGTTATAAATTTAAGTGCTAATGTGTATTCATTTATTAATTATTTCTATTTAAGATAAGATATTCAATTGTGTAAATTTTTCTTAACTATGGTAATATTTTAAGAGAGGAAGTGTTATGTTGATAAGAATAAGTGATAACACTTTTCTTATATTTTACTCTTAATGTACATTTGTACTGTTAATAAAGTGTATTGTTCTGCAATTAAAAATTTATATTTATTAAAGACAACCCTATAACAAATTAGATACTTCTTATCCAAACGTGGACAGAACAAGAAGAGTCTTACAATAGACATTGTTATGAATACTTAACTTAGTTTTATTATTGTCCCACAATTGTAATAACAGATAATCATAAATTGAATTGTAATTGAGGTCGGCCTAAAAGAATGTGTTTATAAAGTATTTTTTTCGGTATTGCAAAACCGGAAAGTGGGCCGACTGCGACTGTTGTAATTCAGAGCATCGTTAGTCATTTGACAACTATTGTGCGATTACTATTACTTTTATTTTAATAAACTAATTAATTATTCGGCAATACTATTTTATTTTATTCTATTTGTTACTCTCGTAACATTAATTTTGGTGGCAGCGGTGCGATACCGAAGAGACTGGTGCCGAAAAAGAATAATTTTTATTTTTATTATAAAAGTTACTAAGTACGCAAACAATAGTCAAATAACTCATCAGAAACTCCAGAATCTCAAGAAAAGCATTGAACTCAAAATACAGAAAATCTTCAAAAATCAAAGAACTTCAAGAAAATCAAATCAAAAATAAGATAAAATAATAATAATAAACAACAAATAAAACTTGTTTGTTATATTTAATACAATTAACGGTTAGTAATTTCTACTGTTATTTCGTTCACTATCAACGTATATACTTTCGCCGCCGCCCGAACTCATATATATATATATATTTTACAAAAATATTAAAAAAATTCACTAAAAACCCACAAGTCAAGTTTCTCCGCGTGACCAGTTTCAGAGCGTAGAACATCAATCCAACCCAACCAAACTATCAACACATCATGTTTATGGTGGTGAATGTCTTATTACTGTAAGTTTTATTTTGTAGTTTAATTTATTTTTTTTAAAAAAAAAAAAAGAAAAGAAAAAGAAAAAAAAAGGAAAAAAAAAATAATAATACATTTATGTATATAGATAATATTTTTCGTTTTTAAGTGTATTAATTTATACGTACATACATATATATATTTTTTTTAATAAATAAGTATCAGAAAATCTTGGGGGTAAATTAGTTAGTTATTTATATATTTATATAATTTACATTTATCTATTTTTTATTCATGTTTATTATTTAATTATCTTTTGTGGAATCAGCTCAGCTTTGGAATTTAAGATAGTATTATTTTGTATTGTTTATGAGTAATTCTAGTAGTAGAAGTAGTAGTCCTATCGACGACAAATCAGTTGATCCTGATTTTAAACCAACCTGCAGTACTAAAGTATCTGTTTCAAAACATCCTTCTCGTAATTTACGTTCAACTTCGTCGTCTAATCCTCCTATAGAAAATTTATTAACTAAAGGTGATGCTCTTCTTGAATCTTCTTCTGAACTTTTAAATACAACTTTTGGTAAACTAGGTGACACCGACAGTTTTTTAGGTCAGTGTAGTCAAACCTTNCCATGACAGTTTTTTAGGTCAGTGTAGTCAAACCTTGTTAAAGTTAGAGCAAGTCCAAAATCCAATTTCTGATTTTAATCCAATTATTCCTATCAAACAGAAATCTATCGTACAGTCTCCAGAATTTCAGTCTTTATTTATCGAACCGAACCTCAATCAACCTCTTCCCCTACTTCGTGAAATGGCCAACAATCAGATAAGTCTAAAGGCTGCCCTACGTTTATTACCACAGTCGTTTGATTGTACCAGTTCAGAGGATCTTGAAATATTTTTAGAAAAATGTGAGTTTGCCATAGAGTGCGCAGACTCAACAGCACAGGAAAAGCTTCTTAAAGGTATTCAAGTACGTCTATCCGGCAAAGCTAGACAAGCAATCAAATTCAAAGAAATCCAATCGTGGACTGACTTAAAAAATACTCTAAAATCCACTTTAGAACCACAGAGGACAACTACTCATCTCTATCTAGAGCTATATTGTACCAAACAGGCTCCTAATGAAGATGTTATTTCTTATGCCAATCGTGTAGAATGTCTACAATCACAAATTTTAGAACAAGAAACAAATGGAAAAAGCACTGAAGCAGCTACCGCCCTTGAGCAAAGCCTTAAAGCTCAAACAGTCCAAGTGTTCACCGAAGGTTTAAATAATCTTAAAGACTTTATAAAAGCTCGTAATCCACCAACATTAGAGAAGGCTATTCAAGCCGCCCGTGAAGAAGAGCGTGTCCGAAAATCATGGCACGAATCTAGGAAGTTGACCCCTACAACAGAAGGAAAGTCAAAAGTTATGTGTTTTAATTGTACAAAAATTGGTCATTTAGCAAAAGACTGCAGGTCTACTTCAAATCACACGCATAAATCATCAAATTTTATTAAGCCTAAATCTAATTTGCAAAGCTATCGTCCTAACTTGGCTCAC